CCTCTAACCTTTAGCCTTCTCTTCTCAGACCATGATCTGTTATTTCAACCAGACAGAACTCCAAACTACACTGGCTGCATGATGAAGCTTAGTCTTGGATTAGGTTGTTCATAGCACAAATGCATGTCTAGGTTCTCAGAAAGATGTCTACATTATTCTTAAAGTAAAGCCATTTCAACATATGGCATGGTGTTTTCTCTGAGCAGGTGAATCAAGTGTTCCTCAAGATCTCACCAGAGCTCCTTCTCTACTAACACCTTTCTTGTTCCCTAAAATAGACCAGCCTGGCAGTGTGGATGAAGAGGGGCTGATGCAATTAGAACAAGAGCTTTTCCAAGCCAAGACCCAGATCAACAGTCGACTGCGGCCCTTGATGTCTGAGCTGGAGGAGAGGGCACGTCGACAGAGGAACCACCTACATCTACTGGAGACAAGCATAGATGGGATTCTGGCTGATGTGAAGAACCTGGAGAACATTCGAGACAACCTGCCCCCAGGATGCTACAACACCCAGGCTCTTGAGCAACAGTGAAGCTGCCATAGAGCTTTGTCCACTGAGGTTCTTGGGACATGGAACTCAGGCATCAGGAGCCATCTTATGTGGATGGGATGGGCTGAGGATATTTGAACATGTTTAAGGGTTCGTTCAGGTCCATTGGACCCAATTCCATCCCTGAGACTATGGGTAGATGGATGTCTTCCTGTACCAATATGGTACTGTTTGCTTCCTGGTGCTGGCAATGAGGCAGATAGCACCTGGTATGAGACTGATCAAAGACCAACCGCACCAACAAATGTTGACCTCAGAGCAGACATAAACTGAAACCTGGAATATACAATGTGCTGCCACGCATGTCAGGACAAGAGAGCTAGTCACACTGAGGCCAGTAAAGTACTCTTGCTCCACCCACTTCAAGTTTGAGTGGACTAGATTTCCTCCACTGCCCACACAATAGCTTACGCCCTCTACTTTCAAGCTGAGTGAAATGGGCAGCGATGGGCACAGAACCTGGAAATCTGGCCCATTTGGAGCAATGGTGCCTACTGCCACCCTCTCACCTCTGTGCTCTCGGCCTGAGTTAACATCCTTTCTCCTCATGATGCCAGAATAACTTAGAGACTGCATTGTTATGAAAGCATTTCTGACCAGTCAAGCAATCACTGGGAAAGTATTTCCCTTGAGTTTCAAAGTGATAAAAAGAAAATGTGCCTTCGGCATTAAAGGATGTGGAATTGTCTAAAAGATATATTCATCTTAACCCAGTCTTCCTTTGCAAACACTAAAACTCATATACATCTGTTTATTTTATCTTATGTTCTCTCTCTCCCTAAACCAAGGATAATCTATCCTTCTAACATATATTTATTGAGTCCCTACTATGTGCCAGGGGTGAGTGGAACAGTACCGACTATCTACCCTCATGAAGCTGACTGACTAGTGAGAAAGAGAAACATTTAAAATAATAAATGGAAACTCCTAAGCCTTGTTCATCTCAAGTGATATTTATTGCAGTCACCCTTCAGTTTGGAACCTTTCTCAGTAGAACATGTGTTGCAAGACAGCCCCATGGGGGTACTTGAGTCAGGGCAAAGCTGAAATTGTTTTGAGTTGTATACACTTTTCTGCATTCCAGCCACCGCTCCACCCCTTCCCACCACAGAGTATTGCAACAGACACTTGCATCATGGCAATACCAGTGGGAATTGCTGAAGGAACCAGAGGCACTACACTTCAGTTTGGAAGACTTCTGTACCATTTCATGTCTGCAGTTCCTTGTCTTTTCACAGATGTGTGTTAAATAAAAGAGCATTAGATGTTGGGGATGAGTTTCTGATTTTATTAAACTCTTGGTCTGGAGTGGAAGCACCAGAAAAAAATGGGAGTGAACATGCCATTCTATTACTGATGGCCCTGGAGTTAGCATCTTCGATTCCTGAGGGCCTAACTTTATCCTTTCCAACTATGAGAACATTTTGTAAGATTTAGATGATGCTGTATCCTAAGCATGAAGAATTATTTCTCAAAAAACCCAAACTGGGTGGAGGCTACAATCAATATTCTTGTCTTTTTCATCTACTATAAAATAAAGATAAAATCTGTAGTTTGTAGTGTATATGTAACACCTTTCAATAAATTACAATTCAGTAAGTTAAGGTCTGAATTGGCTTTTACCCAAGGGCTGACAAAAGGGTTCTGTTTTTGTCCACAGTGACTCCTAAGTTCTGAGAGATCTGACAACTAGGTCCTTTGTGGAAATAGTCTGATAATTCTATCTTGTCATGCTCTGTTCCACAACCTACAAACTTCCTGCAATAATTTAAGTCCTGTCATTTATGATATGTGACTCCTAAGGCTGCCTTGGGATGAAAAGGAAGCAAAGGAACAGAAATGACACACCTGGGAAGTCTTTGTAAGCCAGAATGGGGAAATCGTATGCTCTATTTTTCGAAGTCCATATTATAATTTTCAGGGGTTCCTTGAAAGGAAGCCAGTTTTCAGTGACAACTCTATACTATAAAAGGGGTATACACCCTGTTGGGTTAGCTATGCTCCTAAAATCATAATTCCCCACTGGATGGATGGTTGAGAAAGTTATGAGAATTAGGGTGGGGATGTAGTTCACTGATGAAGTTCCTGCCTAGCATGAAAAATGCTCAGGACCCAGTCCCCAGCACCACATAAACCCAAACAGGCTGTGGCCATACAGTTGAAATCCCAGGACTCTGAAGATGGAGGCAGAGGCAAAGGCCCAATAACTATCATCCTTGGCTACATAGTGAATTTGAGGCTAGCCTGGGATAAAAGAGACCATGTCTCAAAAAAAAAAGTAGTTATGTCTTTCTTAGCAAATGGCAAAAATCTCAGTAGAGATGGGTAGTGAGAAGTGACTATTGGGACCTGGAAAACTGGCCCTAAGATGAAGAAAGGCTGTGACTGAGAAGTAGCCTTCCCTAAGCCTACAGCTAGTCTTCATCTGGCCCTGTCAATAGAAAGGACGTTTTGTTTTGTTTTCTGATTCATGAAGTTCATGAAGAACTTCTAATACATCTTCTCTGGGAGTTTCCTGGTAACTGTGCTCTTGTAGACTATTACACACAACCTTATCTACTGTGGCTCATAGCAGATTCGAGAGGAGCAGACATAACGCTGTCTACAGATGCTGACTCCTTAGCAGATCTGATATCCTCCCAGGATGTGGTTTCTTTCTAGAACTTGAATGATGCCAGAGAAAAGGGTCAAAAGATACTCAGCCCAGTCCACTGTTTGGGAACAAATCTCAAGGACCACGACTGTGTTTATCATGTCTTCTTGGAATGTTTTTCGTGGGTCATGAGAATGTTATGGGCTTGTACTATGCTTTAATTTTCCCACCTGGAAAATAGTAAGCTTTCTCTCTACTTTTTTTTAATACTATTGGTCACATAGAACTTCTTAGGAAATTCTGCAATATAAAGCTTCATGATGGGTCATAAGAAAATAAATGCATATAATTGTTACTTTGTATTTCATATATATATATATATATATATATATATATATATATTTGAGGATTAAACCAGTGTTTATATTTAATTTTAAACACACTCATTTGCTGTGGTTAGCTTTGTGAACAAAACAGCAAATATAAACACAAGTAACCAATTTACAGGGTGTATCAAGCTTCTGTAAGATATGCCATGAAACCCCACATGGATACACACAAAGCAGGTTATTCTCTGTTTAAAGAAGGAAGAGGAAGAAGAGGAGAAAATGGAGGAAGAGGTTGGAGAGGAGAAAGTGGAAGAGGAGGAGATCTAAGAATCCTACAATCAAAATGATCACAGAACAGAACAAAATTAATCTGGCAAGTATCTAACGCTTCACTTGGAACAGGGAAGTGTTACTTCACCTTGTGAGTCACAGTTGATGGCTGGGCAACAATAACCAAGGACCACCGCTCAGACCAGCCAAGCTAGGCATCTCATAATCAGAAAGGAAATGAGAGGGCCAATTATCACAGCCGGGGCTGGTAGCTAAGAAGTCATTCATTCAGCTTTGCTTATTTACACTGTCAAAGGAAGATGTGAGCTTGACCATTTCTTACTGGAGATCGTTCATGCCAAACACACACACACACACACACACACACACACACACACACACACACACTTCATAATTTTATCAAAGAGACAAAATTGCCAGTCTAACTTGTTAGCGCAACACCTAGAATCCCAGCATTTGGGAGATGGAGTCAGGAGGACCAGCAACTCAGGGTTATCCTTAGTAACAAGCAAGTTGGAGGTTAGTCTGGACCACATAAGACTTTATCTTGAAATTTTTCAAACAAATGACTGAAATTAACCAAGAGAGGACCGTGTGGGCTTAATCTTGGGTTTAATTTTTTTTAATGTGTGTATGTGGAGATGAGTTTGTGTGTACCATATGAATACAGTGCCCATGGAGGCCAGAATAAGGCATTGGATAACAGGACCTGGAGTTACAGTTGTGAACCACCATGTAGGTGTGGGAAACTGAACCCTGGTCCTCTTGAAGAGCTCTTAGCTGATGAGCTGTCCATCTCTCTGCTCTGTAAGACGTGGAAAAAGAAAGATAGAGAGAAATGGAGGGGAAGGAGGGAAGGAGGGAAGGAGGGAGGGAGGGAGGGAGGGAAACAATTCCCAGCCAGTCAGCCTAGGCTGACTTTTGCTTTGTTGGGGGAGGCTTGTGTGTGCCAGTGGACCTGTGGGGATCAGAGAACAACTTTCTGGAGTTGAGTCTCTCCTTCAATCATGAGGATTCCAGGGATTAAACTCAGGTTGTCAGGGTGACAGCAAGCACCTTTACCCACCGATCCCTCTGGTTCATATCACACACGTTACATCAGCTAGATTAGGTGGAACACCACTTACTCTAAGCATCTTTTTGCAACTGTTATCTACCACCAAGTAAAGGAGGAAGAATAAGTGATTAGTTCTCAGAGCAACACACAGGGAAGGTGCTGGACAAAGACACAAGACACTAGTAGCATTGTCTGGTTTATTAACATAATTGAAACATTTTGCTGATAAAACTCTTGCCATGACTAGTCTAGCAACAAAACTCTACTCAAAAATATTTCACTATGAAATGGTATTGCAACTTGAATGGAGTTTTTACTAATGAGTTGATTTCTATAAAGTAAATCTCACTCTTAAATCAACAGATGATATGATTAAAAACAAAAACAAAAAAGCTTCTTCCTCCCCATTCCAACCCCAGGAGGATCAAGCAGAGGGCCCTGGGACACCACCGAAAGGAGGTGAGAAAGGGCTGCAACTCATTTCTAACTAACTGGAATAGGCTACTCGGACACTTGCAAACGCATACCACACAGAAATCACATAAGTTGAATTTCCCAGTCAGCTCACAAAGTGTGTGGGTCAGATCAGCATGGCAGACCACACCCTCCTTACCACAGGCTATCTCTAGGCGTCTTAATTACATTAGTTACAGAATCAGCCTGTCTCCATCCTTCTGCCCCTCCTGCTGTAGCCTTGGGAGAGAACCTGAGCTTTTCATATGCTGTTTTTGCATTGCTGATTTTGTTTTGATACAAGGTCTTACGTGCACAGAGGCTGGACTTGAACTCCTGATCCTCCAGCCTCCACCTCTCAGTGCTGGAATTACAGGTGCGTGCCACCACACCTGGCATTGCCTTTCTTTTCTAATAGAAACAAAAAATAAATGGGCGTGCTTCTCTTAGTCCCCTAAAAGTGTGTGAGAATACCGGAGTGAGGGAGTGGATTTGGGCTCTCTGTAATCCTCCAGCTTCGGATGCAGTTTGATTATCAAGTTTTACTTCCTACATATTTGAATGGCAAGTTCATGAGTTCTTTCGGAGATTCTGAAACATGAGACTAGAACGTGTGGCCAAGCCAAAATAGGAAGAGCAGTGTCTCTGGAAACCAGCTGTGATTTCAGGCACTTCAGTAGGAGACTTCCTTTGCTGGTCAATGTACATTCAAAGAAAATGAAAGCCAGGGGCCCAGAGGCTACCTGGGATTGGGCATGTGGGACGGACTAGCAACCCAGGTTCCCCACAACCCCACTCCTGGAGGAGAGAGCTGTTAACATTTCCCTGCTGCCCGTCTGTCTGCCTCTTTTTTAAAAAATGGCAGGGATGTTGTTTGCTGGCAGCTGTAAATAATCAGAACACTCCATTCTGTGCCGTCACCAGCATCTCTGGGCCACGCTAGTAATGGGCCAGCCTTCACAGGAAGCAGCAGGTCCCCAAAGACAAGCATCCTGAGGACATACGAGGCACCACTTAAAACTATCTTGGCTGGGGCAGGTCACAGTCACACCGTGCTGTTCTGCACAAGGGTGGGGGATGCACTCTACCTTTGCTCCAACAAAGGGAGAAAGAGACAGGGAAGTGAATGGACAATTGGCTCCACCTGGAAGGGACTCACTTCTGTGGCAGGAAAACTGTTTCCACACACCTCATCAAGATAGTCTGCCCACCTGCTTCCCAGAACCGACTTCCACACCTGTCCTCCCAGCTCACCTTCCTTCCCTCCCTGCTCCTAGCTGCCTGCTGCCCAAGGGTGCTGGGCTAGCCTGGGTCCTCACCTCAGGCCATGAAGTAAATGAGGCTTGACCAGAGTCCAGAGGAGGAACACAGTGAACCAAAGGGACGGAAGAAATGTTATCTTTCTCATGCAGACCCTTGACAGCTCCAGAGCCTTCACGACACCATGTTGCCCCAGGCAATCCGGCTCCGGCTTTCTTTTGTCTAGGAAAACAGCATTCTCTCCTCATGCTTCCCAGGATGGGCTTCGAGATCCTGGACCAGACACTGACTCGCTAGGCGTTCTACTCCCTTGATTTCAAAAGAACCTGGGAGCAAATGGGTTCTGCACGTTTTCTCTGTTTTTTGTTTTGTTTTGTTTTTGTTTTTGTTTTTTTCTGGGACCTTTAGCCAAACATTGGACCTCTAGATTATAAAAATAATCTCCTCCCTCTGGAGATGGTTTCTACAGTCTAAAGAACCACAGAGCAGTGTGGGCTGCTGTACACAATTCTGTGGACTCCACTTTTTTCCCTTAGAGTTAGCTGAGGGAGCTGGAGTGAAACTCGAGGTAAAGAACATCACCCCTGTTCGGTCCCACCTGGGCCATGTTAAAAGTAGCCTCACACTCAGGAGCCATTCCCTGTGAACAACCCGAAACCCAAGAGACAGGGGCCGGATGGGAAACACAAAACATAAAGATCATTTCCTATTAGCTCTCCAGGCAGGGTATGGGCGTCCAAATTGTTTTCGGAGGTAGAGAGAAGGGGCGGACAGTGGGGAGAAATGGGGAGATAGTTCTGTTGTGAACCCACTCTTGTCAGGGAGACGTCCTAGGGCATTGGCTGCTGCTGCTGGGCTCTGCAGGAGACTGACAGGGCCAGCTCGGCAACAAGGGTGATCACTTCCCAAGAAAGAAAGGGCTTTGGGCACAGCTGGGCAACTTTAGGCTGAGTGGGTGGGGATCATGAATTCTCCTCAGGGTAACAAATTGCATTCTCCCAGAGCATCCTGAACTTGCAGTTCCCAGCCAAATGGGCAATAAACAATCCCAATTAGCAAAGAATCTCCATGGTCAAGTGGACTCTGAGCTTGTTTTCAAAAGAAATGAATGGATTATCAGCACTTGGTCTCGCCTGTGATTCCTCTCACTGGCAGGAACACATCTTACCATGGCCTCTAGAGCTTTTGCTCTCTCTGGAAATGCCTGTCTGGCAGGGAACCCATACAATGCCACCAGTCAGACACAGAGAATTAGGACCATGGTCTTCTGAAACTAGCTACCCAAATTCTGAGAAATTCTACTTTTCCCAGACTTGTGTGCCAGCTTTCAGAACCTGAGAGTCTTATTCCTGACCAAAGGGGTTTCAGGTTGCTGCAGGTGTGGCTGTCTGTGTGTGTGTGCATGAGTGTGCATGTGTGCATGTATGTGTTTGTGTATGTGTGAATGTGTGTGTGTGCATATATGTGCTTGTGTGTGTGTGCATGTGTGTGTTTGTGTCTATGGGCATGGGTTCGTGTATGTGCCTGTGTGTTGAAGAAGCAGAAGAGACTCTGCCTTCTTTCCTGGGTGTGGCCCTCACGCACTCAGAGTGCCGAGACTGGCTATCGTGTCCTGTCAAAAGGGAAGTAAACTGCAGGAGAGCATCAAGACCACAAACATAAAAACCACACACACTGATTCCATCCAAGTTCTACAAGAAGAGGACAAAGGGAAAGAAATAAAGAAAAATAGCCCTTTGTGGTAAAGGGCATGCTGGGAAGGCGAGAGCCTGAGCCACATCCCCAGAGCATGCTGGGAGGATGGCACCAGAGTCGCCTCTCTAGAGCATGCTGGGAGACGGACACCAGTACATCTCCAAGGGCTGCACTTCCCCCAACTCCCACCCTGTTCCCTTACCCACCCCCAACCCGGAGACTAGAGGAAAGTTTATCCAAAGATGACTGTGGAATGGGAAATGCCACGGTTCTTCGCAGGCCCCCCACACTGTGGGGGTTAAGTCAGCCAGTGGGGAGAACAGTCAAGATGAAGACAGAGAAACAGAGAGGCAGAGAGAAAATGGGGTCTGACAGTGGCTGGAGGGGCCAGTGTGTTGGCAGAGGACACAGGGAGAGTAGAGCGGAGAGCTGGGTGTCGCTAGCCCGAGGCGTTGATGTACAGCTGACTCTTGAGGATGTAGTCGATGACTGGCTGAGACAGGTAATCCACAACATGGCCGTCCCCATGCTGCAGGGCCAGCCTGCGTAGGAAGAAACAGAAATCAGGTGGACAGCCTCTGCCTTTCAGGAAAGTGTGTAAGGGTACCCCAGCACCCTGCCAGCAGCCTTTGCCTGGGCTGAGTGAACAGTATTGGAAAGATCCCCATCCCCACACAGACTCCTCCACCACCAATGACCCCTTCACCCTGTCCTGCCACCGAGTAGCTCAGAGACCTTGGGGAAGTTGTTTTATTTTATATTTACTTACTTCATGTGTTCGTGTTCGTGTGTGTGTGTGTGTGTGTGTGTGTGTGTGTGTGTGTCTGTCTGTCTGTCTGTCTGTCTGTCTGTCTGTCTGTCTGTCTGTCTGTCTGTCTGTCTGTCTGTCTGTCTGTCTGTCTGTCTGTCTGTCTGTCTGTCTGTCTGTCTGTCTGTCTGTCTGTCTGTCTGTCTGTCTGTCTGTCTGTCTGTCTGTCTGTCTGTCTGTCTCTGTGTATACATGTGCTATAGCATATATGTGGAGACCAGAGGGCAATATGTGGGACTCAGTTCTGTCCTTTACCAGGTGGATCCCGAGGACTGAACTCATGTTGTCAAACTTGGGTTCAAGCTCCTTTACCCACAGAGCCATCTCATTGGCCCATTAGGCAAGTTAGTTAAGCCCCTTTCTTCAGCTTTTCCTTCAGTACATTTAAGGTAACATTTAAGTGAGTTACATCCAATTATTTAAAGGATTAAATGAGTCACTATGCCAAGCATAGGGTTGACATTTTAGTTTCCTATTTTTTTTTTTCTTTTAATAGACTATTTTGTGTATCCCTAAGAACTCTTAGTTTATCTCTTTGGGTTTCTCTGACGCTGGTCTCATGAAAACTAGTCTCTTAGAGGATTCTTCAGCTTGAGTTTACCTTTCCCTCCTACAGGAGCCCTAGGCCGTGAGCACACGGAGGTACAGCAACAGGTGAAAGATTCCACGGACAAATCGATTCCTCCAGCACATTTTTTCCTCTCTGCTCATTCCTTAGGATGTCACTGAGCCTGGCACAGTGCCTGGCTCACTGCCTTCAAGGCAAGCCCTGCCTTTACCTTACAAGGAATGTGTGTCTCCTGAAGTGTCCCCCTGCACACTGAAGCTTTTCCAAAAGTGGGCTCTAAATAACAGTTGCAACTTCATCAGACTCAGCGGAGCAGCCGAGTCTGAGCCCAACCCCAGAAAATCCTCGTCTGGTTGAACCAAATGGAACACAGGAGCTTGTATGGCCATAGAGTAACTTTCTGAGTCTCAGGAGCAGCCGTATTGGAATCGAAGCTCTGACCCCGCCCCCCCACCCGCCCCATTGCCCAATACCCTTGGTTTCTTCCCTAGCCTTCCAGTGGCTGCTATTCTTGTGACTGTCTCCATCATTGCCTCCCAAGAGAAGTCCAGTCGACTATTTGATCCTTGGTTTATTTGACTTCCCTGAAACATGGGACTAAGATGGCAATGATCTCCATTTGAACTCTTCCTCAGTTGCTGGGCATCCCTGTTGGGGGATTCTAACTGCTCCTCAGCTTTCACAGAAATGCTAGAAAGCTTGCCATGTTCCTGATAGCTGTTTTCTCCTCACTGCTTGACTTGTGAGCTCATCTGGATCTGGAATTTTTTCAATAGTCAATTAATTGACATATGTGTCTGAGAGAGACAGAGTGTGTGTTCCACAGTGCAAGCATGGGACTCAGAGGACAACTTTCAGGAGCTGGTTCTCTCCTTCCACCATGTGTGTTTCAGCATTGAATTTAGGCAGTAAGGCTTGTCATTGTCAACAGGTGCCTTTCTACCAGGTGAGCCAGCTCATTTTACCTGACACACACGCTCACGGCTCTCAGTTTATACTTCCAAATTCCTTTGTCCTATATATCTCACTATTTCACAGGACATTTCCAGTTGGACTGTATGGAGGAGGCTGTCAATAGTCCCTAATATTAGTTCCTCCCCATTTTGGCTTTGTTTAGATACATAGCTGCTGTGTTTTCCAGACTCCCTCCATCCATGAACTAGTGGGTTACTTACAACCCTGGGCTACTTCATGATTTATTTTTTTAAAAAGATTTATTTAGTCTTATTTTATGTGTATGTGTGTTTTGCTTGCATAAACATCTCTGTGTCATATGTGTACAGGGACTACAGAGGCCAGAAGAGGGCATTGGAGGCCCTGGAACTGTATTTATAGATGATTATAAGTTGTCATGTGGGTGCTAAGAATCCAGTCTGGGTCCTTTGGAAGAGCAGCCAGTGCTCTTAACAACTGAGCCATCTCCCTAGACCCTATTTATTTATTTTTGAGATAGGCTCTTGCTATGCAGCCCAGGCTAGCATTGAATTTTTTATCCCCTGCCTCCACCTCCTGAGTGTATGAAGCATGGTGCCTGAGCAGGCCACTTTAAAGAGGAAACATCCTGCCTTGGGCTTCACCTTGTTCTTTCCCACTGGCTGAGAACAATCTTGATGGTATATATGTTCTCAACAGTGAAGCTTCAGACTGAAGAGACCAGACTCAATCCCCTTGGACTTCTGTAAGTGAGAACTACACAGCTACCTTATTTGAAATTCTGAATTTTGAGAGCCTTTTAATGGCTGCCTGGCTTATACTTTTACTAGTAATGCATGACTTTATCAGCACCCGAAACTAAGAGTCCAATACTAGAAACATCCTCTTCTTTCCTCAAGGCACTTAAGAGCAGTTAATGTACTATTTCCTCATTTAAAAGTAAACAGGGATAAATTCATGACATCCAAAGAGGAGACTGAGTGCTGAGCAAGTGTCCACTTGAATCTAAGGGTTGTGTGACTGTTTGAATGAGAATTGCTCCCATAGGCTCATATGTTTCAATACTTGGTCCTTAATTGGTGGAACTGTTTGGAAAGGACTAGGAAGTATGGTCTTGTTGGAGGAGGTGTGTCACTGGGGGTGGGCTTTGAAGTCTCTCTACCTCATTCATGGTTGTATCTCAAGATAAGAGTTTTCAGCAACTGCTCCAGCGCCATACCTGCCTGCCTGCTGCTCTGCTCCCCGCCATGGCGGTCTAGGACTCGTTATCTGAAACTATAAGCCCCAAATGTTTTCTTCTATTAGTTGCCTTGGTCATGGGGTTTTATCAGAGTAATAGAAAAGAGTCGACCAAGACAACTTGCCTTTGACTGAGGAAAGCTATGAAAAAATTTAAACCAGTTTGACCAAAGTGGCCCTGACTATTGTTAACCATACCTGCTCTTGGTGGAGCTGACTACAGACATGGGATGGTTGATGTCATCTTTCACCACCATGATGTTGTTCTGGAAATAGAGCGGAAAAACAGGTCACCAATCCCTCTTGTGGGCTACTGTAGTGGTTTGAACAGGTATGCCCCCCCATAGACTCATGCATTAGACTATTAGGACAAGTGGCCTTGTTGGAGGAACTGTTCCACTGTGGGGGTGGGCTTCGAGGTCTCATATACTCAGGCTAGTGTGATATGCAGTCTCCTTCTGCTGCCTGCAGATCCTGACCTGGAACTCTCAGCTCCTTCTCCGGCACCATGTCTGCCTGCATATTGCCATGCTTCCTACTAAGATGATACTGGACTAAACCTCTAACCATAATCCATCCCAATTAAATGTTTTTCTTTATAAAAGTTGCCATAAGCTGGGTGGTGGTGGTGCACGCCTTTAAACCCAGCACTCTCGAGGCAGAGGCAGGCAGATATCTATGAGTTCAAGGCCAGCCCAGTCTACAGAGTGAGTTTCAGGACAGCCAGGGCTACGCAGTGAAACCCTGTCTTGCAAAACCAAGATGAGTTGCCATGGTCAAGGTGTCTCTTCACAGCAATAGAAGCTCTGAGACAGCGAGACAGCTACTTTTGCTCCCTTACTCTTCCATTCCCCCAGAAGCTTCAGAGAAGGGCTGGGTCACAGGGATCTACCACAGGGGACGGAAGACTCACTTTGTATTTGCGGAGTATTGAGGAGTGATTCATGATTCGGTCTGTGTCAGCTGCATCCCGGGGAACCACCACGATCCCGAAGTCCCCAACAATCACCTCCATCTGAAGATGGGGGGAGAGGGAAGGGAGAAGAGAGTGAAACAACTTCGGTGAAATCTGTCACCCGAACCTCCTACCAAGTGACTACAACAGAGTGGAGTGACATTCCGTGGTTTTACTTGGAACTTCAAACATTAGCTTCCAATTTACCTTCTCAGTCCTGTCAGTCAGCACCCTGAACTACTGGCAGTAGTCTTCATAGAAGGAGTGGGGACCTCATCTGGCACAGAGGATGCTTAAGAAATACTTCTAGAATGCTAAACACCCTTTAGCATGTCTGAACAAGACCTTTCCAACCCTCAGAGCTCTTGTTTGAGTTCACAGTGTTGTAGACTAGCATGAGTATCCAGTAAATACCGTCACGGGTGAAACTGAGTCCATTGTCCAGCATGTTTACTTCAGCCCTGAGTGGGACAGCATGAGAGAGTATCTTGCTTCCTTCTGTCACATGGCTCAGTCATATACTGTGGGACTCCAGTGAAAGCACAAGCAGAGACACACTCAGAAGGAATCCCATGTGCACAGGTAGTGATGGGGGAGTGCTGTTGAGAAAGGATCTTGATATATAGCCTTCGCTAGCCACAAACTCACTATCTATTTGTTTTAGCCTTCCAAATGCTGAAATGACATATAGCCTAGGATAGCCTCAAACTTACCATCATCTTAGCCTTCCAAATGCTAAGATGATCCATTGCCTAGGCTTGCCTCAAACTCACCATCTACTTGCTGAAATGACAGGTAAGAGACACAACACCAGCTCTTTATGTTCTTTTTTCTAATTATAGATATAATTAGATATATAGATATAATACAAGTGTGGGAAATGCAGAAAAAAAGTAGAAAACAATATCAACCACACAATGTCGGTACCCACAGTTAGCCCCTCAGAATATACCAGGGTTTTCCTTTCTATGGACAGCTGTATTAGATCCATATTAGCATTAAACTGCAATGTAAGGCATGAGGTTGTAGCTCAATGGTAGAGTGCTTTCCCAGGGTGCATGAGGCCCTGGGTCCTCATTCCAAACACTAAAAATAAAAGCTAAAAAAATCAACTGCTTAAGTAGCAATTACCTGCATTCTCTTTTTTGGCAAGACTTATTCTAACTCTCTCTGTGTGTATGCATGCGCCTGTGAGTATATTCACGCTTGTGTGCAGATGCCATGGAGGTCAGAAGAGATCCCCCTGGTATTAGGGTTATGGACAGTTGTGAGCTGCCTCATATGAGTGCTAGGAATCAAACTGGGGTCCTCTGTAAAGGCAATACACACTCTTTAACCAAAACATCTCTCCAGCTCCAACTTGCATTATTTTCATTTAGCATTATATTTTGAGGATTCTGAAACATAATTAAGATTATCTGAGGGCCAGCAACTTGGGTTAGCAGGTAAAAGCACTTGCTCTTAAGTCTTCTGACCAGAATTCAATGCCTGAAGCCCACATGGTGGAAGGAGAACCAATCCTGCAACTTAGCCATTTAACCTCCATGCCATGCCCTCGCACACTAAATAAATAAAAATTATGTGGAGACGTGGGTTTTTAACATTTCCTATGTTTCATCATAGTCATGTAGTATGGCAAGTTTATAGTAACCTCATAGTTGCTGCAACATAATTTTGATACAAACACTTTGATGAATATCTTTATACATAAATCTTTTATCATAACTCTAATTATTTCCTCAGGATAAGAAGTCAACATAATTGGGTAAAAGGATGTGAACTGGAAGTATTTCAAGCTCTTAAAACATATTATCAAATCACCTTCTAGAAATGTGCTGATATTCATTTTCAAGGAGCTTGGAATTTACAGCATTTGGTAGGCTTGGAGCAGGTTTAGATCCTGCCAGTTATGGATCCCAGAGGAGGAAGGACGTTTCTTGTAAGCAGTTCAGCTCATTGGGCAAGATCTGCTTTGGGGGTAAAGGACTCAGAATCCTGTCCGCTCCCCCCCCACCTCCCATAATACTTCTAACTAGTTTCACAAAAACAGAAATGATGAACTGTGGTCTGTTATGGAATGTTATCTTTTGTTTTTAGATATCATTACTTATTATTTATACAACAATCTTCCCCCACATATGCCTGCACACCAGAAGAGTACCAGATCTCATTACAGATGGTTGTGAGCCACCACGTGGTTGCTGGGAATTGAACTCGGGACCATCTAGGAAGAGCAATCAGTGCTCTTAACCACTGAGCCATCTCTCCAGCCCTGGAATATTGTCTTAACTAGGCAAAAATGTGTTGCATTTGTTGATGCTGCATTTGTTTAATTATGTAAAAATGTGTTGCATTTGTTTCACCTTGCCTGCCTAAAGATTGAGCTAATAAAGACCTGAATGACCAATAGGTTAGCAGAGAAAGGATAGGAGGGGCTTCCAGGCAGAGAGAATAAATAGGAGAAATCTAGGCTCTAAAAGAGCAGGAACAGGATAAGGAGGCTAGAATGAAGGATACTTCTGGGGCAAGAAACCAGGCAGCTGACAGACAGACAGACATAGAGAGGCAGTGAAAGTAAGATATCCAGAAGTAAGAAAGGCGTAAGCCCTGAAGCAAAAGGTAGGTAAAGAGAAACAGTTAATTTAAGTTAAAAGAGTGAGCCAGAAATGTGCCTAAGCTAGGCCAAGTATCAAGACTAATAATATGTCTTTGTGTCATGATTTGAGAGCTGGTTGGTGGTAGAAAGAAAAAGCCTGGTACAGTTTGTCCATTCTTCTCTACCAGAAAATTTCATACTGTAAGAATGCCATTGTAAGCCTGATTCAGTGTGATGTGTGTGTTTACGTGTGTGGCGTGGTGTGGTGTGAGGGGTGGTAGGGTGTGGAGTGTGTGGTGTGCTGTGCATGTGTGTGTGCTGGAGTGCGTTTGTGCTTGTGAGTGTGTGTGTGTGTGTGCGCGTGCGTGCGCGTGGGTGCGTGCGTGGGTGTGTGTGCGTGCGTGCGTGCGTGTGTGTGCGCGCGCGCGCGCGTGCGTGCGTGTGTGTGTGCGCGTGTGTGCGTGTGTGTGCGCGTGCGTGTGTGTGTGTGTGTGTGTGTGCATGTGTGTGCGTGTGCGTGTGCGT